GAATACATGAAAGTTATGTGAAAGCACTTTCGGGAACATAAAATGGTATGTTCCAGACAGCAAGCACTGTTATTATTCAGGTATCGGTCAACCTTCAGTAAGGGGATGATAGGAGGAACAAAATGTGTTTCTTTAATCAAACTCAAAGCTAACAGAAGTCAGAACCAGGTTTCAGCAATATTAATGGAATTTATGTGACAGCAACAAAGTATACTTACGAACATTTCATTTAACTAATGGATCATATAGTTTCATTAAGTATTTATTGCACCATGAACATTCATTACATAAACTCTTTTAAGAGTATCAGAAAAAAACAGCTGTATAAACCTAAAATAATCCCATTAGTGTTTTCATTACTTGGGGCCCCACGTCCACCCAACCTCTAAAATTCTCACCTCTGATTCTACAAAAACGTTATCAGTAGGTGGAAGAACCTAAAGCAGTAACCTGTCCCAGAGGCTGGGTTGGAATCAGGCCTGACTCTACCACTGATTGTCTATACGCCTTTAGGCACATGAGTTACTTAAACATTCTCAGCCCCAATTTCTTCATCTGTAAAATGGGGATCCAGTGAGCCCCACAGTCTTTATTTATTTATTTTTTTTTTAAGATTTTATTTATTTATTTGACAGAGAGATAGAGAGAGAACACAAGTAGGCAGAGCAGCAGGCAGAGGGAGAATCAGGCTCCCCGCTGAGCAGGGAGCCTGACGTGGGGCTCGATCCCAGGACCATGGGATCATGACCTGAGCCGAAGGCAGTCGCTTAACCAACTGAGCCACCCAGGCACACCGAGCCCCACTGTCTTTAAACGGGGGAACATGCAGCCCAGGGAGCGCTCAAGAAAGTCCACTAGAGTGAAAAACTCAAACTCTGCAATAACTACTTAAAACTACTTTTATCTAAAAAAAAAAGGGAAATAGTTTTAACTATTTCTTAAATTTGCAGATTAACAGCACATGCATGTAAATTTATACATAAGAATCCATACCCTGGTACAGGGTGCAGGCTTTGAAAATTATTCCTTGATGGGGTCGATGACTGGGCAGATGACAGGGGGCCACTACAGTGGTTTAGTGGGAGTGACTGATCTCGTTCAGGTCCTTTCAAGATGATGCTGGCCCAGGAATCACACGGGGACTAGAGGCTAACGATACTGAGTGCAGGGGAAGCAAGCCAGGGGAGGTTTAGCAATGGACCTGGTAAGTATAAAAGCTTATACTCTTCAAATTTCCTTTCCAAGTATGTTCTAGATAAATGAATCTTCAGAAAAAAAAAAAAAAGAAGCAAATATCCCCAATTCCTTCAGCACGCAGCCATTAAATCACAGTTTCCAGAAATCCAATCATTTCAACGCACATTTCCTAAGCGCCTACTGTGTGCAGAGCGGCCCCTGGGCTCCATGCTGGCGGTACAGAGAGACACACATCAGGGCCTGGCGGCCGCTACACGCCCCCAACCACACGCACTGGCCTCAGGTGGCCCTCATCCCTCTTCCCCAACGCTCCTCCCCATGGGGCCCCTTCCTTGTGTGCATGTTAGCTGGGACACCATTCCTCCCTTTAACCCCAATAGCCAAAAGGGCGGCGGGCCACATTGCTTCTTTGCTCCTCACAAACTGAAAGCTCTTGTCTGCCGTCCCGGTCCCTCCGCAGCGTGTTTGAGTAACGCACAACTATTGCTATTCCCTGGGTCCTGTGGGAAGCGAGGACAAGTATTTAATGAGGCCCTCCCAGTGAAGGGGGTTCCAGATAAACAAATGCCTCATCTGGCAGCTTCCCGCGCTGATTTACCTGCACTACGTACTGCCCTTATTCACTCTCCTTTCCCCCAGCTGCATTCCATTATCTTCCGAGCCGACCATGGCCATCCGTGAGTGGGGAGCCCAGCAAGTGTGCGCCACGTCGCCGAGCTGCCCGGCCTGTCGGGAGGTCCCGGGCAGGGCTCCCCTGGAAGCTGTGCACATCCCAGCGGCTGTCCGGCTGTCTGTCCAGCTGTCCAGCTCACAGGCACTGTCAGTGGGGTCCTCCCGTGGCAGCCCTTCGCGCTGGCTGCCAACAAGTGCCACCTTCTCCCTGCCCGGGGAGCCAAGAGAGGGGTGCCGTGCTTTCTCCCTTCCCTGACGTCCTATTTTAATTCTTCTCTCTCTCTCAAACAACTCATTTTACCACCTTCCTTTTGGGGGGGGGGGAAGGGCCCATCGTCTTCCTTTGCTTCACTAATGATTTGCTAGTTCAATCTCAATTACCGTAAAATGGGATACACGGATGGCTCAAATTTTCCCCACAAAAGGATCTGCACTTGACTGGAAGCAACCCAATTTCCACAATTATCTCCCTCACAAAAAGTACACACAACAGTGATAACCGGTGGGGCTATGTTTTCCTGAAGCCATAAATAGGGATGGATGTGCTGACAAAGGAGCTCGTTTTTGTTTGTTTCCTGATTTGTGAATGTGTTTATTTGAACCTTCTCACAGACACATAAAAATTCAATCACACTTGGCAAACACTGAGCAAATCACCAACACGGAAAGCTATTTCTTCTCCGTGCAATCCCCTCGACACTCCTCGGGATGGCAGTTCAAACTCGCCTCCACGGGGAAGGCTTCCTTGACCACGGGTACCCTTTCCCTTGGCACAGCGGCCTCTACTGAGGACAGAGGCAGGACAGAGCAGAGGCTCCCAAACTTTGCCCCACGATGGCATCACCTCAGGAGCTGGAAAGACCACTGGCGCTTGTCTGCCATCCTGGGACTCTTATTTAACTGCTGTGAGGGGCCACCTGCCCACCGGGATGCTTAAAAGCTCCCCAGGTGGTTCGAAAGGGCAGCAAAATCTGGAAAGCAGAAGCATCTTCAGGGCCAACCATGGCCCCACTCCCTAGTCCCTGGGTTTGGGCCCAGCACTGAACCCCCAAGTTTGAACGCATTCACTGCAAAATAAGAGGACTCTGAGAATACACAGCCAATACAGGGAGGGTATCACGTGACATAAGCCATATAAAATGCTTATCACGTGATGGTAAGTGCTGCTGGTAGGTGGGAAAATACCTCCCCACCCCACCCCCACCCAAAAATGCCCATATGCCCATGACCTGCTCATCAGAATATGATTTAGGTGATCTAGATCCTAAGAATTTGGGCTTTTGAACAGATGAGGTCTCGATGAGATTTGAGGTTCTGAACTGATGAGACCCTGGAGACACCTTGCCCGTAGTCTGCATTTGGGCTGGATATGAACCTTTGGGGGCCAGAGGGTAGACTGGGGTAGACAGAATGGGCCCAACAGATGTCCACTCCAAATCTAATCCAAATCCCAGCTGATTGCACCAGGAGTCAATTCCTCAGCCAAGGACAATTCACTGGCTGACAGCAGCCACGACTTGGCCTGACAAAGGAGAGTTATATCCAAAGCAGATATAGGAGAAGATATGCATATTATCTCTCTCAAGAATCTGATCTCATTAATACAGATTCTGTCCAGTGGTAATGGGACCAGGAGGGAAAAGATGCACAGGGAGAAGCCAGGAGGCAGCAAGGGAATGACTGAGCACCAGGGATGAGTAAGCCCAAGTAATGATAAACAGAAGCCTCCAAGTAGAAATATATATATATATATATATATAATTAAGAGAGAGACACAGATCATCTTCAGTAGAAGTAGTCACTGAGGGCACCCCATGGCAGGGAGTGAACAATGGCCTGTGCAATGGGAAGAAGACAACAGAGTCCTGAGAGAGAGCCAGGATCGGTCCTGTTATGAGCTCATACCCACCCCGTCCCCGGGAGGCCAGCCTGTGTGTCTGTTCGGAGATTGCAGAGAAACTCCTCCCTTCCTCCCTGCTGTGTGTGACCTTACTAGGACGGCCTGTAATGAAGGGCCTGAGGAGTACTTATCTATATCTCTCATCTGAACCTTTAAAGACATCACGATTCATATTGTGTAGCTGACAAAGACAAAAAAAAAAAAAAAAAACCACGAACATCACAGTCCCACAGACTTGCCTTGGGTTTTCAAATCATGGCACCATGAAGTCCCAGATGTGTGACCTTTGGCAAATCCCTTGACATCTTTGACCCTCAAATTCTATCTCTGTAAAGCTGGGAATCCTTACCCCTAGTGGTTGCTGAGCAGAATAAATAAGATAATGTACGCAAATTGCCTGGTACTACAGGATGGACTCACTCATTGCATATTGTTTGCTTTCCCTTCCCACGATTTCATTTGCATTTAATTCTTTGGAAGGAAAAGGGGAAATTTTCTGATATTTCCTATACTATATGCCTATCAGTTTTTCAATACGTACCTGTCAAATGAATCCGGAAACAATGACCTAAAACTCTTTCTGCTAGGGTATGAAATCTGATACGCTGACGTAACCTGACCTTCGGGCTCCAGTCCGGCCTGCCTCCCCAAACTCCCAGCTCAGGTGCTCCTCCTCACTGGGACCAAGGGCTACAGCCACACTGGGTGGGTCAGACCCCAGGGCACACCTTGATCATCCAAGACTGCACGCACCTCCTCGCCTCCTCCAACTCAGCACGCACTCTGAGGCAGCATCCGTCAGTCGATGCCAAACTTCCAGAAGAGTAAAGAGATTATTTACACAAGGGTAAGCTGCGTTCAGTGGAAACCCCACAGGACACTGCAGTAGCCCAGGGACAGGATAGCAGAGCTATTCCCTTCTCCTGGGCCTGAAGGGGTGAAAGAAGGGAGAGGTGACTGGAACCAGAAAGGAAGGTAGAGACAGTTGCCTTAAAAGGAGTGGTGACCTTCAGTCTAGGAGATAGCAGGCCCCAGTCAACTCTGCCAGAAGAATGCCAAAAAGTGGATCAAACCATAAAGACTTCACTCCCTCCTTCCCACTGGCCTCCTGCTGGGACTCAGCGTTGGCTACTGGGAGAAGAGGTGAGGGGGCCAGGCGGCCCGTGGATGCAGTCCACGCAGTGAGCCTTGTGAAGGGAGGGGGGTGGGGAGAAAAGAGCAGGGAGGACACCTGGAAGGGCAAGCAGAAGAGAGCCAGTTCAAGGTCCAAGGGAAGACGCTCCTCCACAAAAAACGTCGTCACAGCCCATATTCTTCAAAACTCCTCAGGAACTTCCTAACTCCCGTCTCCTTGTGGCAGCAAAACATGGAAGGAAGAAGGGGGAAAGGAGAACAGAGTCAACTGTATGCCGTGGTCTCTGCTAAGTGTTATACATGCCTCATCTCATTAATCTTTACAATCTGGGAAGGTAAGGAGCATTATCCCCATTTTGTAGCAGTGGAAACTGAGGCACAGAATTGATGAAACACCAAGCCCCAGGTCCCATTTCCAGGGTAGATTCGGATCTAGAACCCAAGTGCACCTGACTCTAAACAACACAACGTTTCCATCAAACCCTCCTGCCTTGCATAAGTCATCATTCTGTTATCTAGCCGTATCTTGTCCCTTCATGAGCATGAAGGCTCGGAGGGCACGGACAGTCTTCTATTTCTCTCATATATCCTCTTGCCCTGGCAATATGGATGAGATGCAAAAAAAAGTCCCACAAAAATAAATCACGGAATAAATAAAATCACAGAATCTTTGAAATCCCCACAATCCTATTTTTCCTCAGTTTAAAAATAACCTGTTTTGCCATATATTCAGAAGCTTCTCTTCCCTCTTTAAACAGACACGTTTTTGGTTTTGTTTTTTTTTGTTTTTTTTTTTAACGCACGTCTCATATTGGGATTCACAACTCATCACTCCCACAAGAAATACCCCCAGGCTCCTTGTCTATTCAGGCAAGCACTTGGTAAATTTGGGAAACAGTTTAGATTAATTTCAGCTTGCCAAGTATGAGGATGCTGGGTAGCATTCTCTTCTACAAAGTTTTAAAAGAAATATTATGCTCATTTTCTTAAGCATATCCAACAAGATTATTTTAAAAATGGACTCTGGTTAAAGTCTTTATGACTAATAATGAACACAACAAAATGATTAATAATACAACTGTGGCAGCTCAGTACATCCAACACTACGTGTCTGTAACATGACATGGTGAATATTTCTAAAAGCCCCTGACATTTCATCATTAATTCCTTTTGTCTTCTCTTCGAGGTAGCAAAGGTGAGCTGGTGCGAGTTCTGTGTGGAGGTGGAGGCCTGAGGCCCACAGAACTGGCAGCCTCCATTCCACACTCACCTCCCATGTTCATTTGATGGGAAGACAAGATGCCTTAGCAGAACCCAGCAGTAGTCAAAAGAAAGGATCTCCAGCTTTGCTTAGGAGGGTGCCCTCGGGTCTCCCCTTCATCTGTGCATTTGTTTGACATCTCCTTCCCAATGACCCTCACAGTTCCACAAGTACCTTCCTTTGTGCACACTCATTTCATCTTCTTAACAACCCAGTAAGGTAGGCCTTGCAGTCCCTGTTTGACCACGGCTAGACAAGGAGAGGAGATGGGCCACAGGTTTCCCCAGCTAGAAAGGGTGGAAAAGAGGATGGAATCCATGTCTTCTGGATTCTAAGATCTTTTTTTGTATCTTGCAAATACCTGACTCCCGAATCTGTATTATGTGCTTCCTTACAGATTACCAGCTCTAGGGTTAAAATTAGTATCTTGGGGAGGAGAGTAGGGGCCAGGGTAGGGAGACAGTGAGAGGGCAGGCTCTGTTGGTGGTATGTTAGTGGGTCCCAACCCTCCCTGCTCCGGGGTCCCAATGGCAACAACACACTTCTTAATCTATGTGCTGACTCTAGGCCACTCCTCCATTCCCCATCTGCTGAATCTCTGTACCTTCGCATTGCCACCAGGGGCAAGGACTGTGGGGCCACTGACCCCAGTCATGATGTGTTTCCCCAGAAATGATGAACTTCAGCCTTTGGTTATTCAAATTTACAGTATAAATTAGGAGTATTCTTGAAGGATACAAAGATCAAGATAAAGATAACAGAATTAATACTCAATGGCTTCCAAGAGCCAAACTGATAAATGAATTACTCCTGATTTTTGATTGGGTATAAAAAGTGAGCCAGTCTTGATTAGGCCCCCATTAACTGGTGGTGTCCAGAAGGCAACCAGCTAGTCCTGCAAATAGTCATTCACTGAACACCTGTGATTCTCTAGGTATTACCAACTAATATCCATCCAAGAAGGAAGGGATATATGATCAGAAGAAGCATGAAAAGATCTCTTCCCCCAGGAATTCCAGAAGGAAACATCCACAAAAAAGTACAGAGTTTAAGAAAAAATAGGGATATCAAATACTGCTTTGAAAAATTTCATGAAAGCTACAAATCCCTTCCCCAAGCTCAAGTCAAGAACTTAAGATGTAAGGTGGGGATTAAAAAAAAAATTCAAAGGTGAAATGTAAAACCAGTATTTTAAAAGCACAACCAATATGATGTGCTATGACTTTTCATCTTTTCACTTTTATCCCACCATTTTGTTGGCACATTGCCATGAAATCATAATAAAGTTAGTCGCTTCTAATAGGATTTACAGCTAAAAAAGTACTTCACGTGTGTGTCCAAATAAAATTCTCTTAATAACCTTGGAAAGACACAAAATAGGAACCTTGATTGTTATTTTAAAGATGAGAAACTGGGGCTCCAGAGAATGCAGGTGCGCAAACAGAGCTCCAGTGCTTGTAAGTGGCTGTGTCCAAGTTAAGTTCAAGGTCTTTAGGCATCCAGCCTAGAGTTTTAAACCTGGACAGGACCTTGGGTATCACCTCAACCAACGGCCTGGAGTCTTCATTTTGCAGTGAAGAAACAGGTCTTAGAGAGATTGGATGGTTTGCTCAAAGTCACCTAGGTAGCAAATCACATGGAACAACTAGGTCACCAGATCCCTTGTCCATTTCTGACACTATGATCCAATGTGTATACCATTCACGACATCGCAGAAAGCACTTCCATATCTCACATTCCTAGACCATTTCTAACATCATTACTTTTACAGGATTCCTGCTCTAAGAACAAGTTATTTTTGAAATACTTCAAAATGCATATAAGGAACCTTTAAAAGAATTAAAGGATGGTAAGATTTTTGCACACACTGTAGAAGGAGCCCTCCGTTCAAAATGTAATTTACCAAAACTCAGCTTCACAGAGTGACAATCTAGAAAGCATCTTCCCAGCACTTGAGGCACAGGCGAGAAAGAGCTCAGAGAACCATCTCCGACCCAGGGGAAATAACCTCAGCATGCTAAAAGCAAACAAAACCTAACAACCTGAGCAAATTAATTTCTAATAAAGAGCTCTACTCAGATATGAAAAAAAAATTAAATTAAATGTTACATTACCCATGTGGTCATGTTACAAAGCACAGCTCCTGGAGACAGCTGTCCTGGCCCTTGTGGGAGCTCAGAGCCACCCCACAAAGAAGGAAGGACAAAGTACACAGCTGGGATCACAATTACAGAGTTTCGGAGACTGCCAGGGAAGGGGTTTGGCAAGTGCAATCACATGGGGAGAAGCAGTTAAGTGTTTTACCACCAACACCATCAGGGCAAAGGCCATTCAAACCCAGGCCCCCTCTATTCCAGATGCATTTCTTTACTCATTCCATCAACACGTCCTTTCATTTACTGACTACTGGCTGTCTGCCATGCACTGTTCAGTTCTGGGGTTCCAGCTTTTGTCCTAGTGGAGGAAGGCAGACAATAACACAAGGAATAAGTATACAGTACGGCAGATGTTGGGAAATGCTCTGAAGGAAAATAAGGAAGGAGAGGGGAATGAGGAAGTGCTGGGAAGGGGTAGATTTTTTAAATGAGTAGTCAAAGGAGTGTCTTCATGGAGATTACGTGGCATAACTTACGAAGGTAAAGGTGCAGGCCGTACAGATAGTTATCTGGGGAAAGAACATTTCAGGCAGGAACAGCAAGCCCCAGATCCCTGAGGCAGAAAGGAGTATTTTCAAAAAGCAGTAAGGGGGCTAGCATGGAACAGAAGGGAGGGGAAAGAGAAGTTAAAGGTTGAGGGCAAGATCTGGAGGCCTGAGCCAGACCCTGGAAGCAGAACCACAGGGTCTTTGCTCTTAAGGAGACAACAATCTAGCAGTAATTCTGCCCAGAAGGCTTGGTTTTTCAGAACTGGCTTCCTGGGTCACTAGCCATGAGACACTGGGAAAAATGAAACCTTTGTGAAGCTCCGTTTCCTCATTTACAAAGTAAGAACAATAATAATCTCATCTCATCTATCCCACTAATCCTACTCCCTAATCATCCCTTAAGATGATTTCAAAATGCTAGACTCCCATGTGTCATCTCTCTGCCTCCACGGAACAACCACATGGGTTTAGTATTTTTATCTCCATGTTACAGACAAAAACCAATACAGCGAGTTAAGCCTTGCTCAAGAAAACCAAGGCAGTGTTACAAGCAGGATCTGAACGCAGGTCTCTGTGATTCCAAAGGCCACAGTGCGGAGTTGCTTGTGCTATGGCCCCAGGAAATGGATGGCTAGAAGTGAAGAGCAGTATGGGAAGGCCACATGGCCTTGGGATGGCCGTGGCTGTCCTAATGACACGGTGTGTTTCACGGGACAGTGGAACAAAGTGCTCTCTCCGTCCATGAGAGCTAGGCAGTCCACATGGGGATGCTCCCCAACCCAACGGTGCCAAGATTATCCTTGTCTGGCTTCTCTTAGTAAGTCTGGGTTCCGAAAGCATGATCCTGCTGGGAAACTGAGGCAGCCATCTAGGTCATCAAGTCTCCCAGGCTTAGAGAGTCAAGCTTTAAGGAAAAAAAAAAAAGAAAGAGACAGAAACAGAGAAAGAAAGACCTCAAACTTTCTGTAACTATCTTAGAATGACAGGCGACTCCTTCTCAAAAGGAAGGCTTCCTGCCTCCAGCCCACCTGGAGGCGAGGAAAGGAAATCAGTTATGCTGATCAGCACATGTTTATGGCACTAGACCTTGCTCCCAATAAATCAAGACTCAGTTTAACTCATCAGAAGTTAACATTTTCTGGTTGCTTTTCTCCCTGGACTGCCTCACACCATTTCTCTCCGATAAAATCTATATCCAGGTGAAGATCACCAGTGGACACTTCAACTCAAGCTGATTACTAGATCCTGACTGTGTTAGTATGTTTTCTGTGCTTAGGCA